ATGCTGTAAGTGAAACCAGCATCCTCAAGATGAAAGGCCTCTTGATCAGATTGAGGGTGTTTTTAAAAAGCTTACAGAGTAGCACAGGATCAGAGAGTCTCCCTCCAGATGCACAGAATTTCACAAGCCCATGGTTGATTTAAGAGCAAGAGTCTGGCTGCTCAGCATTCCCTTCCCCTAACTTGTCACTGAAAGGAGTTGAACTGGCACTTGAGAAATTCCACCATAAGAAACACTTGGATGCTTGTTGTCCACCAGGGTGGATTAGTTCTGTTTATATGAGCTTAGTCATTTGGCATATAAAACAAGCAACACTGTAGCTAAAACCAAAATATAGGATTACACTACTAAAATGACACACTAATTACAGACAATGCCACTTCTTTCCTTTCTGGGACTTTCTTAACTGAGATAATCAATAACCTTTAATTAAGCTGAAAACCTCACCTTATTGCTCCATAGCTGCTCAAACTGTTATGTTGCTTTGATGGCTTGAAAGGAATTTTGTAGGTGTTTTCTAAGGCATTGTTTAACAGGACTTAACCTAAAATCCTGAAAGCCTAGGGTATGGTAAAAGGAAAAGGAAGTGAAAATAGCAGCTCAGGACCTTCAATATGTTTTCCTCTTTAATTCATGAAGAAGCTGTTAGTGTAATACTGTCTCCTGGTTGGGGGCTTGAAGATTTTTCTGTTGCACTGAATCTTCACTTATGGAGGAAAAAAATCTGTCACTAAAAAAATGAATTTTCCTATAAGCTCAATATAGTAACCTCAGAAGTAATCACTTGTATCCCACGAGATCAGAGCTTTGCACAGGAAATCTCCCCTGCATCACATCTATTATTTCTTGACAGACTTCTTAATTCTTAAAAACATGGAATACAGAAACAGTGAAAGGTAATCATGTGTCCATAATGTCTCTACATTGTTGCTTGCTAGAAGACCCTTCAAGTCTATCTTTAATTTCAATAGCATGAAAGAAAGGTAATTTTCAAGTGTAAAGGTGCCAGTGTTTGATCATGGAGAGGGACTGCTAAGCAAGAAACTCATGTAATTTTAGTAGATATAGCAATTATTCCCTGGAGAGCTTCTCAGTATAGACATGTCATACCTGGGGCTATGGATCCAAAATGTAGAAGGCCACTGGCTTTTTACCTTATAAAACCAATAGGTGCTGCCAGGACAACCATCAGCTTCCAAAACAACCTATTCCTGTACTCTCACCTGAATATATGCCGCAGGAAAATTTCAAGTCTGCTTTGGACTTATAAGCAATTCGCTGTCTCTCCTGCTTATTAATGCCTCTGAATAGGAACAGACTAGGGCTTTTCTTATCAGACAGTCCTTTGAGTGCTTGTGCATTGCCAGGATTTTACAAAACCTGGAAGAAATAGAAGCCGCTGCACCACTACAGTACCCTCAATAGGTTTTAAGTGCCAGACTTGTCTTTCACAGCTTCAAAGGAAAGTGTGATTCTTTCTGGAGCCCAGCTGTGTGCCTAAGAAGATGGTTTTTGAGCAGTAATACTAACCAGAAGTATGTGAACTTCTCAAGGACAACTAGCTCCAGTTGCCGTCAAGAAACTATTCAATCACTCTACTTGGGGGAGGATTTTTACAGAAATTTACTCCCACCTTCTCATAGCCATAAGGACAAGTCAGAAGTTAGATTCTTTTGCCAAGAGGAAAAGATTGTAACTTACAGCCATGAAAAATGCAAAAAGTATTTCGATGCTGTAATTCCCCCTGCCGACTGGCATGGAACACATTTTCAAAACATCAGACATCCACAGCCACTTCCACCCAGGGCTATGAAGATAGTTTATAAATGCTAGTCAGTTAAGAAGGTATTTTGCCGGCAGAAAGATTAACAATTTCAATTCAGCTATTCATGAGATATATGTGTGCATGTGTAAAAGACAGAAAAGCAGAATATGACTTGCCTCATAACTGAAAGATTAGATTTATGTTTCCCCATGCATTTTTAATGTCCTTACAGAGTTTCATGGGGCCAAAACTCCCTGGGCAGGGCTGGGAGTGCAGGAAAGTTGTCTGTGTTTGGGTAATTGTAGTTACAGCCAGGGCCTGATCCAGCTGGGTGGTGGATGGGAAGACTGTGCAGTGCTGTTACAGCTCTCTCATGTGTCATACTAATACGGGGGACCGGAGCTCTCTTCGTCCTTCACATAGATACAATTTCTTGATGAAGGTGACCTGACCATCTCAAGGTTGCGAGTCAGGGGAACTGCCTCATCAGAAATATGTGTGGTCAACTTTTTGCATCCCCCCTACCAAGGACAAAGCAGTGTGATACAGTTATCAGAGAACTGTGTGGGGCAAGCCAGGACCAGCTGCTCAGCTCAAAGAAGCACTCAGAGCATCTTTTTGCAAGGCATGTTATGAAAGAAGCAGACAAATGCTGCAGACAGGAAGTGCTGTGGGACACTGCTGTCAGGTGTGTTGTCAGGACCATGGAATGCTCCTCTGATTTGCAGAATCCCTCACCTGAATACAGAAACTGGAACTGCAGTTCCAAAAGAACACATATCTGAATCGTCTTAGTGAGCTTCAAACTAAACCCTTTATGGTTTGACTTCTTGCTGCCATTTCAACAAAGCTCCGTTGTTTTCAGAGTTACTGATCTTTTAGCAGAGCAACTACTTAACAGAATATAAACCAAGCCTCTAGTGACAAAGGTGGTCATCTCTTGCATTTATGAAAAGTGTTGATGGCCAGCAGGGCTGGGACAAAAGTAGGATCTCTAAACAGCCCTCCTGAAGTCACTGACTGAGCTCTGAAGTGCAGCAGAGCCTATTCATTACAGATTACAGTTTTCTAGTGAAAAGTCTGCTGTATCAATTTTGTGCCAAACCAAGGGTTTGATTTATTCCTGTTGTAACTCCACAGAGTTCATTCAAGCTATATGAGTCATGAATTTAGCCCTTAACTTGCTCCATAGAGAATATTGTTTTTTCCTTTGATACTACTTCAGTGGAACTCTGAATTTATGAACAAGCATCCTGCTCCAGCAAAGCATGTAAGCACACACGTGGGAAGTATGTGACAAACTATTGTGAGAGGAACTGGACTACTTCCATACTTAAACCATCTTGTCAGCCTCTTTCACCTGACATCCTTGCTCATATTTTACTCAGCGGGAGACAGAGTGCTTCTCCAAACATTTGGCGTAACATAACTGAAATGATGGCCAACAGAAAGACTCCCATTGCCTTCCCTGGAAGCTGAATTAGCTGAATTATGTCCTGGGAAATGGCTTGTCTTGATATCAGTAGAGAGTTTTGGGGAGAATGAGGTAGTGAGTACATCCCTTCTCTAAAAAACGTGCCCACTGTGTCCATATTGACTAGGGATTTTACCAAACACGAGTGACATCTGCTCCTGAGCCCTAGCCAAAGATCTACTTTACAACACTGCTTACACTCACCCACAAATCCTTCCAAATCTCAGAAAATCACACTGTAGTCCCTGTACTTGTATTATCACCAATATTTTCTCTCCTGCTCTGGTTTTAGTGCACGTTTTTTGAAGCATCATCTTCCGGCCTACATTTCCCTCATCCGGGCCTGCTCTGGGAACTTACTGGACTTTACAGCACTTTTTTCTCATGATTCTCTTCTATTAGGAGAATGGTTTGCTTCTGGCTAGGTGCTTACTTTTTCATTAATTTCTATGTCTGTTACTCAGACACTACCTGTTCTGGACTTCACACAAGAATGACAGTTTAGCTGAAAGATCCTATTTGCTAACTACCCTACTTTCACTGGTTGTCTAGCAAACATCCTGCGGTGTCCCTTCCTATCTTCACAGTGCCAACAGTGTGACCATACAGTGCCTGTATCAAAGCTCCCACACACTGTCCATTTTTAAAAAGCCCAATTGCTCAGCAAAACTTTTCTGCAAACATTTTTAGCAGATGCTTGATGAACAAAACCATAATTACTCCTGCCACCTTCTGCAATGAGAGAAACACTGCAAATATTTCTCCCCATTACATTAGCTGAGGAGGAAATTTACGTTTTCATTAAAATCTGCTATGTAGAATCTGTTGAAGCCTCTTTCTACTTCTCCCTCACCTACCCCTCTTCTTAGCGAGCTTTTCACCTCAGGAAATCTTACATAGTACATCTTCAAATTCAGGGAGACAATGGCAAAGGGATACTGCAATTCACTCAAACACTGAACAAAAGACTCTTGTTAAAAGCCCAGCCTCTCACATACTCTGCCTTTGCCCCCTGCAAAGTACCTGTATAGAAGCTCATGCAGCTTTCTGGTGCTTACCTTTCTAAGCAGACTTGAAGCTGAGTAGACATCGCAACAGGGATGATCTCAGGGCTCCTTTCATGACATCTCAGGCCAAGAAGTACAAGTAGCACATGAACCCTGGCCATACATCATTCTCATTCAGCAAGATCAGGCCTTTTCAGGACCATGGCTTGTTACAACTGCTTTGTAACGCCAATTGTTTGCACTTGCTGTGAGCCATTTCCCATACACCCTTTTCCTGCCTGTTCCCTCAACCACAATACTTTCACAACCAGAAATAATCCCCCGGCCCATACGCTTTTGGAGTTTCTTTCTTACACAGCCTCTGCAAACCAAGAAATCTGCTCCACGCTATTCAGTAGCTTCCTGTCAGTCTTCAAAAGCTCACTAATTCCAGTCTGCTTAAAAAAATGCAGAGCATTCCCTCCTTTGCAGCTTTTCAGCCTTTTCCATCTCTCTGTAAGACAGCCAGCACCTGTTGGACCAGAAAAAGGCACACCAGAAACACAATACACCTGAAACTACCAGAAACTTCTGCAGTGCTGTGAGCGAGGAGATCTCACAGCTCCGTGGAAGGGCCATCAAGCTACTAATTCAGCACTAGTTTTCTGGAGGAGACTGGTGTGCCCCTGGCTGGTTCATATTAAGGGCAAACAAGGGTTAACAGTGTTTGCTCTTTCCCTCTCACCCCCTCCTCCTTTCTGTGCATTTCTGTCAAAGACCTGCTCTCTGGCCAGCCACCGCTGGGATTAGGCTGCTCTAACAGTCTGGCTGACACTCTGTGCAGGAATAAAGTCCTGCTGTCTGGAGGCAGCACACTTGAACCTGCTTCACAGCCCTCCACAAGGAACTCTAGAACTGAAAAGGCAGAAATCAGGACTTTGAAGATTTCAAATTTACAGAAGTTTAAAATACCCTTTTAAAACATCCAACATAAGATAATACCAAAACTCTGTGTTGCTGGGGTTTTTTTCTGTTTTCTTTTCTTTTCTTGAAAAACTGTAAGCATTTTAGTTACTATGTCTGTTCAGGAGCCATATGGAAAAATCAGTTCTGTTCTGTTAAACTGGTTGCACAGTTTTGGTTTTCATCTGCCTACAGAGATCTGAAAAGTCTATGTTGTTTTATTTTATGCTTTTTCGGCAAAGAAAGAGAGCAGTCTGGGGATCATCTGGCCAGGAACACAATAGGTAAGCATAGTATTTTTTATGTAGCATATTTCCAAGAGTCTGAGAGCAAACTGTGTAATTGAGTGAAATCAGCCTTTAGGATGATGTTCTCTTTGGGATAAGCTGATTATAGGTTGGTTGCTTGCTTGGCTTGTTTGTTTTCCTGGTCAAGAAAAGCTGAGCAGCCGTGATATCAGTATGGTTTGCAAGATCCTGTCATTTAAGCAGCAGAAAGAGGTTTTTTTGTTTGTTTTTTGGAATCTTCTCTGAAGCACAGAGCAACTCAGATTCCACTGTCAAAGGTAAAACAAAATATTTCAGGTTATATTTTGAATCTGTAAGCTGTACTTAGACTACAAGAATAACAAAGTGGCAAAATGACTCAGAGTTGTAACTAAAGCTTTTTTATAAGAACATTAAATATGGAATTGATATAGTAATCTTAACTATTCTTTCAACTTGTTCAGATGGTTGTTTAATCTTGCATTCAGCCAGGGGGTAAAAATATTACAATGAGGAAGATAATATCCTAACTTTATTAGGATGTCAAGTATTGAGACTTAGATGACCTGGTAGTGCTAATTTCCATAATAATCTCACTGATATTAAAGATGCGATTTACTTTGGGAATCACAGATGAAAACAAATTTTGTGAGCAAAATCTTCAGATGTATTCAATGCTATGTTTAAATGTACATGTTTGAAATATTTATAAAGGAACTGGTCCTTTTATAAAATCACTTTAATTGTAATGGACAGCAGACCTGCTGAATTGTAGATATTTTGACTGCCTAAGATCTTCTGCACATTTGCAGGCATAATGAGGAAAGGGCTGACCTCAGAAACAAATAAAACTTACAAAGGACTGAACCTTTGTCTTTAATGTTCTCCTCTATCATTAACCAATAATCAGATTTAAACAGGATCTTTACTGCTTGCTGCTTGTAAGATTCCATGAGCCACTTTTTCCTCAAAAAAAGGATCTTGCTCACAGAGCTCCCTCTGCTTTCCAAATCTCGGAGCTACAGCTTGGCACCTGAGCTAAACGTCTATGTCTTTCCTCTCCCCTTCCCACTTTTGCACTTTACTCTCTTTCTGAAACTGAATGTGGCAGACAAAAAAGTTGTAAGGATAATCAATAATCTCACATAGTAGTGTATTGTGAAAATTTCTTGTCCTAACTGGAATCTTCTATTATGTAGCTCTGTGCAAAGTACACAGCAGTTTAAATAATGGCAGCTGTGATGGTAGATGTAATGCTAGAGATAATTTTTGAGACTGTGTACATTTCCTTCATAGATACAAAGCTGATAATAAAACCTCCTGGCAAAAGGAAGGGGCATACATGCTTTTTTAAATAAAATATCTCTTAACAGAGTGAATACAATAGAGCTGTTATAGTTCCAGTGAGCAGCAAATATTTAGATGGGCTGCAAGTGATGCAGGTGGGAAAGGCAAAAAAAAAACCTCTAAATGATTTATCCAGCTGCCCTACAGCAATAAAACCTTCTTTTAAATGAGAAGAGGAGCTTCAAGTGTCCTAAATATCAGTGTAGGGATTCTTACCCAGGGTTCTCCATTTTTCACCAAACAGTATCTTACACTGCTCTGAGTAAGTTACGTTGATCCTCCTCTCCATGCATACCTACAGTCACAATGGATGAAAAAAAATTAAATAATCTCTGACAGAACAGCAGAAGCAGTGCTTGGGATATAGCGATCTCCTTTGAAAGTGACAGTTCCATTACAATAACCCAGCCTTGAAACTTAGCATATTTGTTTATAATTCAACATTATAAGCTAGGAAAAATATTTTAAATATAATTCTTCACTCATTTTGTTAGCAGTGATTTTATAACTGTCATATAATATTGCACTTGTGCTATATTGACTATATCTCTCTGTAATAAAAAACTTCATAGAAGCTTATGACATCAAATTTTTGCAGAGAAACCCTTTAAGAAATGTTTCTTTGCGAACTTCAAGCAATTTGGCACTTTTGGCACACCAAGACTTGCACTGTTTGAGTGTCTGGCTTGCTTTAATTATGATTAGTAGCAAGAAAAGAACAGAAAGAGAGGGTCATTGATTATTTTCACTGCCTCCAAGTCAGCTGTTTCCATTCGCTTTTGCCATTTCACTTTGCAGTACTGAAGATGTTCCGGTTCTGGTTTTATCAGCCTCTCCACCTTCTCATGGTGGCTTGTTTGTGTCATTCCATAAAAGTACCCACCACCAGTTCCCATCAGAGCTTCAACACCAATCTCTTCAATTTCTATCACTCCCTGATACTTGCTGATGGTAAGGAAACTACAGTTCACCTGCTGAAGGACATACCTAAGAGGTAAGAGCAAATCAATCACTTCTAGTCTCAGATACTTCTTATGACACTGATAGCTGCATGCTACCAGTACAAGAATTACTATGCACCTGCAAAGCTCTATCAGTGTACACTGAATTTCTAGAGAAATGCTCCACTGCTGTCATGCTTCAGTGTCATCACATTGCCCAGAATCTGGAACGAGCCTCTGAGATGAAGTTCAGATTCATGTACACATTTCAGGCACCTTTTAATCATAGAATCATAGAATAGTTAGGGCTGGAAAGGACCTTAAGATCATCAAGTTCCAACCCCCCTGCCATGGGCAGGGACACCTCGCTCTAAATCATACCACCCAAGGCCTTGTCCAACCTGGAACACTGCCAGGGATGGAGCATTCACAACCTCCCAGGACAGCCTATTCCAGTGCCTCACCACCCTAACAGGAAAGAATTTCCTCCTTATATCCAATCTAAACTTCCCCTGTTTAAGTTTTAACCCTGTTTAAGTTTATGGTGTTTGTCAGAGCAGTAGCAGAGCTGACACAAAGTGGGTGGGCTCCAACAGTAAACAGCTGTACCACAAACAGCCTGGCTTCAGAACTGCAGACATACCAGTAATTATACGTTCACTGTAAAATACAATAATTTTACCTAGCAAATTAACTATCCCCAAAATCAATAGAATATCTGCACAGACTTCTTACTAAAAAATGTCTGCCAATGTCCTGCATGTTGGAAGTGTTTTGTTGAATGGCACTAAAGCTTGCTAAAATCAAAACAGTTTTGCATGCAGACATTCTGCAGATTATTCACTTCCCCAAAATACCTACAATCTTTTCTGCCATATCTAGATATGTAGATGATCTAGATATTACAACTGGCACTGCATCTTGGGTAGCAAAGACCAATTTGCTTGTTTGGGAAGACATGCACTTCAAGTGGTTTAATCAGACTCCACTTTGGACAGTGACCAACGTGTACAGATTTTGACATACACCCAAGTGCCATAGAGCAGAGGGTGAACCAGATGGTTCAGTCTTGATATGCATTGCACAGAAAGAAACCAGAACATGGCACATGTTATATAATGTGACGATGCTCACAAGAGCAAAACTAGGAGCTCTCCTTGTTAAAAGAAAGTGAGTATTGAAATCTCAAAGAAAAGTTAATTTCACTGTGCTCTTGTGGCATAACATTAAAATTGCAATCAGGAAGCCAAACCCCCTTCAGTTTAGCATGATCAGGTAAGGACCTTATGAACCCCAGAGCCACCCAAAAAGGAAACCCAGAGATGACAAGTTTTTGCTTAAAGTAAAAAAGTCAAGAATGTGAAACTGTTTCCAGTGAAGCTTGACTGTGGCCCAGTAGCCATATCCTGAAAGTAAGCCAGACCTCGAGGCTCACATGATCTATCCATAATGACTAGGCTTGTCTCACTGCTGAATAAAACCCCTTGAATTGCCTTCATTTAACTGCAGAGTAAGTGACACAAGTGGAAACATTTCTGTGTCTGTATACAGTCCACATACACCAAAACAACAGAAATAAACAGAAAACCAAAGGAATGAGGCAGGAGGCTGGAATCAAAACCTAACAGAGTAGACACATGTCGCTTTGTACTGCTTACATGCAGCAGCTTCTGTCATGAAGGCAAGTAGTTTAGGACTGGCCTGTTCCAAAACTGCCATTGATGTCTGATAATGTTCAGGACTGGCTAAAACCATTTTGTTACACCCACTTTATCTGATATCCAGGAAGATCCAAGTATGTAAGCACATATGAGGGAAGATACAGGCTCTAAGAGGTTTCACTGAACTCCAGTACAGCAATCCTGGGGAAAAGCATACCAAATTCCCCAGAGTTAGCCAGCTGGTAGTTATCTAAAAGGCATTCAGTTTAATCACATCCATCATCCAAAATAACCAAGTAAGTACTGAAATAATATATATAATATATAGAATAGTTGGGGTTGCAAAGGACCTTAAGATCATCTAGTTCCAAACCCCCTGCCATGGGCAGGGACACCTTGCACTAAACCATATCACCCAAGGCTCTGTCCAGCCTGGCCTTGAACACTGCCAGGGATGGAGCATTCACAACTTCCCTGGGCAACCCATTTCAGTGCCTCACCACCCTAACAGGAAAGAATTTCCTCCTTATATCCAATCTAAACTTCCCCTGTTTAAGTTTTAACTCATTACCCCTTGTCCTGTCACTACAGTCCCTAAAGAGGAGTCCCTCCCCAGCATCCCTATAGGCCCCCTTCAGATACTGGAAGGCTGCTATGAGGTCTCCACACAGCCTTCTCTTCTCCAGGCTGAACAGCCCCAACTTTCTCAGCTTCATATGAGAAGTACTCCAGTCCCCTGATGATTATCGTGGCCCTCCTCTGGACTTGTTCCAACAGTTCCATGTCCTTTTTATGTTGAGGACACCAGAACTGCACACAATACTCCAGGTGAGGTCTCACGAGAGCAGAGTAGAGGGGCAGGATCACCTCCTTCAACCTGCTGGTCACGCACCTTTTGATGCAGCCCAGGATACGGTTGGCTTTCTGGGCTGCAAGAGCACACTGAAGCTGGCTCATGTTCATTTTCTCATGGACCAACACCCCCAAGTCCTTCTCCGCAGGGCTGCTCTGAATCTCTTCTCTGCCCAGCCTGTAGCTGTGTCTGGGATTGCTCCGACCCAGGTGTAGGACCTTGCACTTGGCATGGTTAAACTTCATAAGGTGGGCATCAGCCCACCTCACAAGCATGTCAAGGTCCCTCTGGAATACAGTGATATACCTTAAAGTGGGAAAAATACTGCCTATGGTAAGTGGATAAATCTTTTAACAAATATTTGTGGATTAGAAAAAAGTCCACACTATTCTTCCCACAGCTGAAGATTTCAGACTTTCATCATCCCCTTGTGTTGATGAACCTCAAGTGACAAGTCATTTCTACGTACATTGGAGTGACCCACACCAGAATGGCTGATTCCAAGGAGTCTCAGGTAGACACAAATTTTCTAACACTTTCCCTCTGGTTTTAATATACATTTACAGGTATTACTTTGTTTTGGAGGAAGGCAGAGCCCTTGAACCTTTCACAATAACAGTGACCCCCTGTGATGTTCCCATTGAATGGAGCATACTTGTGCACAAGGCTTCGGCAAGTTTCCTTGGAAAAGCAGAACGAGGTAAGACCTTCAGTCTGCCTAAACAGAGACAAAGAAAGGAGTTGTGTTACAGGAAATTCCCTGCAAGCTTAAACAACTCATGCTTTCTTCTCCTGTAAACTGACATGGGCTGAAGAGGACATCTCTGTCTCCATGAGTAAAGCATAGGGGGCCCATGGGATTTTGCAGTTGAGTCAAGTAAATTAAGAATTAAATGACAAAGTCTAAATCTAAGATTAATATCTGGAAGAAACCCTGTGTCTTCAGGGCTCCATAAATACAGATCAGCTCCATAAACCATTTGTACTGGCCCAGACTTCCCTCTGCTGCCTCAGCTCTTTTTCTGTGGCTCAGGCCACTTCAACCTATCATTTTGCTCCCTACAGCAATGCAGAGAAGATTTGGCTGTTTATTTTTCTTGGAATACTACCTACCGTGGCAGTGGGCATTACGCTGCCTTTAGCTTAAAAGGAAATTCCATTCTCTTTCATGATTTTTTGAATTAACTTTTGAAACTAAAATCTGAAAGCTGCCCTTAACAAGTTCTTGCCTGTCAGGCAGGTACACCTTACTGAGTAGCTCAACTATGTTCCCTTGAAGTGATAAATTTTCCTTCTTCACAAGAGATGATGACACAAAACTAAACCAAAGCAACCCCCTTTCACAGAAAGTATGAGTCTCCTTGAAGTAAAGTACATGAAGAGACAGCCATTGGAAGAAGAAAATTATAGGGACATCAGGTACAATGCAAGTCAAGCTTTTGCAAGTTGTGGTTTTATAATTATTGTCCTTTTGAAAACATAATTCTACAACTGCACTGCGAAAACAAAAGCTAGTTAAATTTTATTTTAATAAATTGCTAGTAGCAAAACGAATTTTTAGTTATAATTGTTTTCAAGAAGAAAATATGGTGTTCCCTGACATATGAACAATAAAAGCTATGCAGTGTGCTTTATTTCACATCTGTTTAAAAAAACAGCTACAAGTCTGCTTTTTGCCTGCAGGTGATCATGGCACACAAGAGGTCTCAATGTTTCAGAAGGCTCCAAGCACAGTGTCCACCATTTTTAACTATAAAGGAAATTCTGTAGAGACTTACATGGGTATGTCTTCTCAGTCTGCCCTTTATATGCTAGAGTTCTTATCCACTGAGCGAGACACGCACATTACTGTGTACTTAACAACTGACACATCATCTGGGCATCTCTATCCAGAACTTCCAATGGATCCACGGATAGATGTGATTGGCGTTGGGCATACAACTGTGACTCTAACCTGGAAACACAGTCCCTCTGTCTTGCAACATAGAGATAACATTCAATACTGTCTTCTGGTTAATGAAAAGCACAACTATAAGAGCTTATGTGCTGCTGAGACAGCAATCAGATCCTCTGGAATGAAACTGCCACCTACATTAGCTTTGTCTCTCTCTCCGTACCTTCTTGAACCGCAGCAGGTGATGATATTGTCCAAAAGCGAATTGAGCATCATCAACAAAGTGAGTAGTGGGGAAGTCAGGCAGATATGCATGGGTACCAAGAACACTTACACAGTGCCCAATCTCAGCCCCAGCACCCAGTATTACTTTGATGTTTTTGTTGTCAATCTCCTCACAAACGCCAGTGCTGCTTACACTGGGACATTTGCAAGAACCCTGGAAGAACCCGAACCTAAGGTGAGGGAGCTGAAAGATGGGAAAATGATTCAAGTTGTCCTGGATGGGAAAAAGCAGAAATTCTACAGCATGCAGTACCAGGCAAGGCACAAGAAAATACAATTCACCTTTCAGTTGTGTCGTGGCCAAATACGGGTTCACATAACTAAGAATGGTAAACCAGTGGCATCGGAAAACATCTCAGGGCTGAGGTATTTCTCACTGAAGGGAAAGCTGCTGGACACATATTTGGTGCAGCTTAGTTCCACAGAGGAGCCTAACTCTTCTGTGAAAGTACAGGTGTCGACCCATTCCCACAAGCCCTTATTCCCACTTCTTCCAGACAGCTTAAAAATCAAGTCCTTCAGTAAACTGAGGACCTGCAACTCCGTCACTATTGCCTGGCTAGGAACACAAGAGAAGAGCAAGTACTGTGTGTACAAGAAAAGGATTGAAGAACATCAAGTCTGGACAGAACTGCAAAGTGCAGACAGGTGCTCTGGGCCTGAATCTCGACCCAAGTCAGAGAAAGTGCTGTGCAAGTATTTCTATGATATAAATCTTCAGCGAGCTGTCACCACAGAGACCATCAAAGGGCTGGATGCAGGGACCCTTTACCTGTTTGATGTATATCTCTTTGGGCCATCTGGTTTCCCCATCAGATACCACAGCAAAATTGTGAAGACCAGAAAAAAATGTTGAAGGTTTTAAAGAAATGTTTTGCAGTGAATGAATGAAGACTATTATCAAAATATATGCCAATCAATGCCATAGCTTGTGTAGTTTAAATTATGCTGACACACAAGATTTAAAGCTGTGAGATTCTAAGGAGGAAACCTCTTTGTCTAGATTATTATGCTTACTTTTGCATCTTCTTTCCTGTTTAAGTTTTTTTTTTTCCTCTCAGCTGACTCACTCAGACATTGAAAACAGACCTGCAAAACAAATCTGTGCACATGGAAATAAAACACCCACAATGGCACTCATGAGAAATGGATTGGTTACCGAAAAAGCTTCTGAAATCCAATACAGAAGTGACGGGAAATGCCTCTCAAGAAACACACATCATTATTTTAAAGTCCCAGAGAGTTTTCTACCTTTTGTAACTGCATCAGCTAATGAGGAACTGAGTGACACCACAAGTCAAGCTGCTTTGGGGAAGCTGAACTTCCCCACTGCTTGAACAGAGATAGAGACAAAAAATACATTAATAAAAGGAATGGAACTGGTATAGAGCTCCATGCCTTCAGTAAAGCAGGCTGAAATACATCTTCCCCTATCACCTGCATGCTTGCTTGGCTTTCATTTCCATAGAGAAAATGTGGTTGCTTAGAAACAGACAACGTTCAGCCCAGGAACTGGCTCTGGATACAGCTTTCCTAAGAAACATACAAACACATTGCTGTGCTGTTGTCCATTGAGGAAAATAGCATGTAAGGAATCTGGCCACAGAAATGAGGTTTTTATCCATAGTCTCCGATATCAAACCCAGAGCTATTACTGTGTGACTCCTGAGTGTAATATACTCACTTTTTATATCCTTAACCTAGCCTTTATCAAGGAATGAATTGCTTTAGGAAAAATTAAATGTGGTTTTGTAGTAAAAGTCCTGACAAACACTTTTTTTTTCGTCTCTTTTCCTTTATTACCTTCCTCAGATGACAAGAAAGACACTAAAAAGAAAATTTGAAAAAAAAAAAAAACAAACCAAACCAACAACTCATAAAAGCCTCCTTATGCTCAATTTCAATTATCAGAAGAAAATATTTTGAACATAAGCTCCTGGAAGGACTGGAATTGACATATAAGGAGATACAATATATCCACTGACCTAGAGGTTACCAAAGAAATGTTACTTACCATAATTTTTTTTTCCTCTACAGTTACACTAAGCAAAGATCATAGATTCATAGAATAGTTAGGGTTGGAAAGGACCTTAAGATCATCAAGTTCCAAGCCTCCTGCCATGGGCAGGGACACCTTGCACTAAACCATATCACCCAAGGCCTCGTCCAACCTGGCCTTGAACACTGCCAGGGATGGAGCATTCACAACCTCCCTGGGCAACCTATTCCAGTGCCTCACCACCCTAACAGGAAAGAATTTCCTCCTTATATCCAATCTAAACTTCCCCTGTTTAAGTTTTAACTCATTACCCCTTGTCCTATCACTGCAGTCCTTAATGAAGAGTCCATCCCCAGCATCCCTATAGGCCCCCTTCAGATACTGGAAGGCTGCTATGAGGTCTCTATGCAGCCTTCTCTTCTCCAGGCTGAACAGCCCCAGCTTTCTCAGCCTGTCTTCATATGGGAGGTGCTCCAGTCCCCTGATCATCCTCGTGGCCCTCCTCTGGACTTGTTCCAAGAGTTCCATGTCCTTTTTATGTTGAGGACACCAGAACTGCACACAATACTCCAGGTGAGGTCTCACGAGAGCAGAATAAAGGGGCAGGATCACCTCCTTTGACCTGCTGGTCACGCACCTTTTGATGCAGCCCAGGATACGGTTGACTTTCTGGGCTGTGAGCGCACACTGAAGCTGGCTCATGTTCATTTTCTCATGGACCAACACCCCCAAGTCCTTCTCCGCAGGGCTGCTCTGAATCTCTTCTCTGCCCAGCCTGTGGCTGTGCCTGGGATTGCTCTGACCCAGGTGTAGAACCTTGCACTTGGCATGGTTAAACTTCATGAGGTTGGCATCAGCCCACCTCACAAGCGTGTCAAGGTCCCTCTGGACGGCATTCCTTCCCTCCAGCGTAGCAACCCAACCACACAGCTTGGCGTCATCGGTAAACTTGCTGATGGCGCACTCAATCCCACTGTCCATGTCACTGACAAGGATGTTGAACCAGACCGGTCCCAACACCGATCCCTCAGGAACACCACTTGCTACTAGTCTCCAGCCGGACATTGAGCCATTGACCGCAACTCTTTGTGTGTAGCCCTTCAGCCAGTTCTTTATCCACCGAGTGGTCCATCCATCAAATTGGTGTCTCTCCAATTTAGAGACAAGGATGTCGTGTGGGACAGTGTCAAACGCTTTACGCAAATCCAGGTAGGTGACATCCACTGCTTTACCACTGTCCATCAGTTCTGTAGCCCCATCATAGAAGGCCACCAAATTGGTCAGGCAGGATTTCCCCTTAGTGAAGCCATGCTGGCTGTCACCAAGCACCTTGTTGTTTTTCATGTGCCTTAGCATGCCTTCCAGGAGAATCTGCTCCAAGATTTTGCCAGTCACAGAGGTGAGACTGACTGGTCTGTAATTCCCTGGGTCATCCATTTTCCCCTTCTTGAAAGTGGGGGTTATATTTCCCTTTTTCCAGTCGTCGGGAACTTCACCTGACTGCCATGATTTTTCAAATATGATGGCCAGTGGCTCAGCAACTTCATTTGCCAGCTCCTTCAGGACCCGCGGATGGATTTCATCAGGACCCATGGACTTGTGCATGTTCAGGTTCTTAAGATGGTCTCGAACCAATTCCTCTCCTACAATAGGCCTAAGGTCTTCATTCTCACAGTCCCTGCATCTGCCTTCCAAGACTTGGGTGGTGCGGTCAGAGCCTTTGCTAGAGAAGACAGAGGCAAAGAAGTCATTCAGAACCTCAGCCTTCTCCAAATCCTGTGTAGCTAGTTCACCCAAGAGCTTCCTGAGGGGGTCTACGTTCTCCCTAATCTGTTTTTTATTTGCTATGTACCTGTAGAATCCCTTCCTGTTATCCTTAATATCCCTAGCCAAGTTTAACTCTAACTGGGCCTTAGCTTTCCTAACCTGGTCCCTAGCTTCCTGGACAACATCCTTGTACTCTTCCCAGGCTGCCTGTCCTTGCTTCCACTTTCTATAAGCCTCTTTTTTCATTTGACTTTTTCTCAGCAGCTCCTTATCCATCCAAGGAGGTCTCCTGGCCCTCCTGCTGCACTTTCTTCTAGTTGGGATGCAACACTCCTGAGCTTGTAGCAGGTGATCCTTGAAGACCAACCAAGAGTCTTGAGCCCCCCTGCCCTCTAGGGCTGTATCCCATGGAAACTTACTAAGCAGGTTCCTGAAGAGGCCAAAATCTCCTCTTTTGAAATCTAGGGCAGTGAGCTTGCTGCACGCTCTTCTTACTGTCCTGAGGATCTCAAATTCAACCATCTCGTGATCGCTGCATCCAAGGCTGCCCTGCAGTGCCACGTTTCCAACCAGCTCTTCCCTGTTGGTGAGCACAAGGTCAAGCATGGCACCTCTCCTTGTCGGCTCCTCTATTACTTGCAGAAGGAAGTTGTCTTCCACATAATCGAGGAACCTCCTGGATTGCTTGTGCCAGGCCATACCATTGTTCCAACAGATATCAGGGTGGTTGAAGTCCCTCGTGAGGAAAAGGGCCTGCAAGCATGAGGCTGCTCCTATCTATCTATAGAGTGGTTCATCCACAGAGTCCTCTTGATCAGTCTGTCTGTAACAGATCCCCACAGTAATGTCTCCCATCGCTGTTCTCCCTTTAACCCTGACCCACAAGCTCTCTGTTAGCTGCTCACCTGTCCCCAGACAGAGTTCCATACTTTCCAGCCTACCCCTAACATAAAGGGCAACTCCCCCTCCGCGCCTGCCAGGCCTGTCTTTTCTAAAGAGTCTTTAACCTTCCATTCCAACACTCCAGTCATAGGAGCCATCCCACCATGTTTCTGTGATGCCTATAATATCATACCCTGTAGACATGCACACATCTCTAATTCCTCTTGTTTGTTCCCCATGCTACGGCCATTTGTATAGAGGCATCTGAGCCAAGCTCCACATGAAGCGGCTCATTGGCTGGAGCAGCCAGAATATCTCTGCATTGCTCCGAGAATTTATTATAGGTGCTGGCAACTGACTGGATGTGTTGGGATGGAATGATGCCCCCCTCCCCCAACACATCTAGTTTAAAGCCTCCTTGACCAGTCTGGCAAGCCTCCTACCAAAACTGCTCTTCCCCTTAGACCAGCTCCACCAGCCCCTGCTAGACCTGGCCTACAAACTTGGGTCCCATGTTCAAGACACCCAAACCCCTGACTATGACACCACCCTTCTTTCTAACCATTTATTAACCTGGCTAATCCTCCTAGCTTTTTTTAGGTCCTCCCCTGTATCCTGGAGAACTGACGAAAAGACTATCTGAGCTCCAGAGCCCTTAACCACCTCTCCCAGGGCTCTGTAGTCCTTCTTTATGCTCCCCAAGCTACTAATATCTATATCCCTAGCATCCACGTGTATCACCAGAAGTGGATAATAGTCCATGGGGCTCACCAGAGCAGGCAGCCTCTCTGCCACATCCCTGATCCGTGCCCCTGGTGAGCAACACACTTCCCTTGAGACCGGGTCAGGCCAACAGATGATTAAAAATATAGATGATTAATTCTATTAATGCGTATTTCAGAAGATCACTTGCAATTCTTTGTCATCAAAGTTCTGGTTTACTCTGGGGTAATAATTATTACCTCACAGCATACTCAGATGAACTTCACAAGGACTGAATCAGTCCTCTGTGCAGAGGATCATGCATTTCCTTCTCCAAAGCCTTCATAGAAATGTGTACCCTGTACAGTGCGTGCTATACATCAGCAGATTCACTAGCCCCAGAAGGGTTCTGGCGTTCACACAGTATCAGCTGTAATATCTGGGCTTTGGCTAGGCTTTACATTCCTGCAGGCACTACTCTGGATTGAGCAGTGCCATGGCAGAAGCTGTGCACTTTGTGACCTCTCCACACTCCACAGGCCTTTTGGCTAATTACACAGGCTGGCAGCTGCACTGCCTTCTTTCCAAGGCAAGCCTTCTCTTCACCACCCAATCACTCCTGCAAACGTCCTAATTTTCCTGCTTTTTGGTCTTTTTCTTAATTTGCATGAAATTTACTTCTTAGGAAAGACTACGGAAAGAATATGAAGCCATCAAATATCCTGATGACCCACACTGCTCAGAGACTCCATTCTGCAGCCACCTCACAGGATGAGGACTGATGGCTACAGCCAAGTCACATGGGAGGTCATCATGAACTCAGGTAGTCTGAGCTCAAAGAGCAACAGATGTAATCTTCACTTGGAAATCTTCATGTTTTATTCTGCTTCCCTCCTCAATCTCAAGCATCTCTATTCTGGATGAATTTCACTTAGATGCCCTACAAATGACTGTAGTAACAACAATAATACTAATAGAGGAGGAAGAGGAAGATCTGTTTAACTGCAGGTGCAATATATTCTTAATCCGCTGCCCACAGCTGGTCAGAGCATTAACCCTTGCTCTTGCCCTTTGCACACAAACGCCACAAAAATGTCACTTGGAAGAGGAAGACACATTAGCACCTTGCCTGATACCAGTGCCTCTAAGGAAATACATCTTTCGTAACAGAACTGACTTTAGACTTCTCAGCAAAACTTTAATTTAAAGCTGTAGGCAAGAGGTTCTGAGAAAGGGTTAAAAGGAGAGTCTGGAAGAGGGCAGAAGGAGAGCTGAGCAGTCAGAGGTGAGCAGCAAAAGCTTGATGTAGCACTGAGCTGACTGACAGCTAATATGTGGAGGGAAAAAATGGCAGGTTTGGAGGTCAACAGATATTTCAGGAGGACTTTGGGA